TCAGTGTCATCCAGCCAGCAGAACCCACTGAGTATACAGAAGTGCCTTTCTTGACCCCGGCTATCGCTGGCTCACCCGCCTAGAGGAAGGTTTTTCGTCCTTTCACCCTTTACCAATTTCATGCAGGCCATGCAACTGGCTTGCAACACCTTATTGGCCTTCTAGATGAGGAGGATTCTAGACATGGAGTGACTGGTCCGTGGTGGGTTTCGTTGTGCGCACCCTGGACTGTACTATGAGAGGGACTGTCCTTTCCTTCCCCTCCCCAAACTGCTCCAGAGAGTTAGCAAGGGTTTCCAACAGGCCATGATGGCCAACACTTTGTCACCTGCTGCGGGTGAAGAGTGGTTGTTCAGCCTTGGTGAACATGCTACGGGAGGAGTAGTAGGGAGGACAGAACAGCTGGCTTCCTTGCGATCAGCGTCGTGCAGCAGTCCTGCCTAAGATTCACACATGCATGAATCTTGAACCCCGTTGGAAGACCAACCTACGCTTGCTTCCCTGCTGATTTCCACAGCTGCATCCTAGCTTTTGTCCCTGCCTCTTCTCTCCATCCTGTCTCTGTTTAATCCCACACTCTTTCCTGCATGGAGATTTTAAGGCTTGCCTGAACTACGTGTACGACTCAAGAACTGCATTATCGGTCTTTGTTACTGATATCACAGCCTGTATGCACAGGTGCATTCATGTATGGAGGTGCAGGAGAGGTGGGGAAGGACCAATGAATCATTAAGGTGCTGTGGGTGAATCCTCCCTTCTTACAATTACTCTGTATCATTCATTTATGTCTGGCATTTCTGGTATCTCAGTCTTTTCTAATCTCTTCAGCGTCCCAAACAACCTCTGAGCAAACTTGGTCCTTGCTCTTTCATGTCTGACTGTGCCTGCCTGAAATGAAGAGGCACCAAGAAAGCTACTATGCACTTGCCAACACCCCGAGTTGATTCCAGTACTCTATTTGAACCCCCACTCCAAACTCAGGCTGATGGCGTGTGCATCCCCGCTCGTTTGTTCATCATGTCTTCCAGTCAGTCAACACCTCCCTCCTACCTACGCTGAGGATGGAAAGATACTCTTGCAGCTTTAAGCATGGTAGATACGCACCCAATCTTGGGTGAGTATAAAGAAAAGCAGCCTATTTAGGTGCAAAGGAATTTGTTTTCCCCTTTGGGTTTCAAATGGGAAACGATCAGCTCTTGCAGTCAGATCAACCTCCTTTTTTCAGCCCAATGCCTGAGGAAAGTCTGCTTACTTCTCCTTTGTCACCTCCAGGACTGGGGTGGTTTGTCATGCCAGGGAGTGAACTGGCACAAAAGTTGCTGCAGGAAAAGATGACTCCTGGCAATTGATCACAGAGACGTGTTGTGGGACCTTACAGTGGATATTCGAATCTAGAAAGACAAAATACTTTGACCAAACATGAACTGTGATCGGTGCCACTGTATCCCCCTGCTGATATGACTGTCAGATGCCCTTCCTGCCACCCTTAGCTATGGATGACTTATCCTTGTGGTGTCTGAAAAGATCATGTAGAATGTTTGCTCCTTGTACGCATGTAACCTCTTCCAGCTCTGTCCCCTTATTTATGCAAGTAGCACCTTCCTCCCCCACCTCCCCTTCCCCAGTCTCTACGCTGTCCTAGCACCATTAACTCCGCATTAAACATATGGAATAATAAACTTAAAAGTTTCATTTTCATGTGTCTGGGGGTTTTTTGACCTCTTTCCTGCAAGTCTCTCTTTTTTCCCCCCCAGTAAAGTAAATGATGGGTCACACCACCACCACACAGATCCTGTGCACAGCCTTCCTCTGCCTGTCAAGAAGAGGACACAGGCGGAACTCTAACAGGCTTACCAGACTCCTTCACAGAGATGAAACTCATCTTCTGTTCACACCCCAGCACCAGCCATTTCTTCAGTGAGAAATGTAGTAACACTGATCCTGTTCTTCAGCTACGATTCAGCATGTGCAATTAAGAGCAGCACTGTTTTGCATGTGCTTCACCCAAGAATTTCTTAGTGTGATTGTTAATGCTCTCCATAATAGGAGTGTGGGGTTTCTCATCTTGTTCCTCATCAACCAGGTGGCAGACAACATACCTTTAAAAAAAAAAACCCTCCCCACATACACAAACTTGTGTATTTCAGAAGCAACCATTAGTTTCTCTGTAGAAACTCAAGCCCCCGGCCTCTCACCTTCCACAAGCAAGAACCTAAATACAAACACTCACACACAGAGAGTGTATTCAAGAATAGATGTATACATCTTCTTACTTATTGAAAAAGATATCCTGGGGGTAGTCAGGTCCTGGCAGGCTATGTGAAGCTGTTTGGAAAGAAAATGTACAGCAGGTATCGGTCTGCTTAAGAACATCTCCCAAAGCCAATGGTAGTAGCAAGGTAGGATCTCAATTAACACAGAGACTCCACAACAATTACAAATTGATTTCAAAGGGTTTCAGTGCTGACACATGTGATCAATCCAGTAAGTTTGTGTTCACCAAGCACTTTATGGGTCAGTAGAGTAAGCAGGACGTCTAGGAACTATGGAACGGTTCAAAGCTTTTTAAAAGTCACAGCACTATTTGGATGAAATCCTGTATAGGGCCAAGAGCAAGCAGAATCGTTTAATGGATCTAACAACGGTGATGCCAGCTGAAGAGTTCCATGCAAAATAGGACTGTTGGCCATTCACTGAAGAGGAGGAGAAATCTCCACCCCAAATTACAGGCTGTGGGAAGAGTCCAGAAGGGAATGACTGCACTGCTGTGCAGGTCAGGAGCAGACCCGGAGGGGTGAAGAAGGGAAGCCATGGTGGAGTTCAGAGTAGGAGAGCTGATCACAGGGGTGGGAGAGAGAAGGGACATGGTGCGGATGAACAGAAGAGTGGGAAAAGAAAGTTCTTAACCACACACAAGTACCCTTCTCCAGCTCTTCAAAAAACAAATTAAGAAAGTGAGTGGGCTCTGCCCCAATTATTCTGTAGTGGAAGGGGATGCCTCTTATCATTGAGGAGAGTCCTCACAACTAAGACAGGTCTGAGAAAGCTGCTGGTAATAGAGGGGTTAACCACTCCTCCTGCAGCCTAGCAGGAGTTGGCCCGGCATCCTTCCCTATCCCTTTAATCGTATCTGATACAGATGCAAGGCTGGGGAGGGGAGGTGGGTAGGGAACAAAGAAGCCATTTAAAAAAAAAAAAAAAAAAAGGACAAGAAAACGACCCCCGCTCCATGGCGGACGCCAAAACTGCTGCACAAAGGCACCATTTCAGGGCTGAAATTTCACCGCACCAACGTGATTAAAGGATTCCATGGAGGGTGGGGGTAGAAGGCTGAAGGCCACAGTGCTGCAAATTAACCTTTTCTTGGTAAGGATGGCCTAGACCAGGAAGCACTTGTGTTCCTCACAATCAGCCCCCTCCCTACACCTGCAAGCATCTCCACATTCCCTTTGACCTGTCATTTTGCCCAGGGACCCACTTAGCTCTTGCATTCTCATCTCCAAAGCCAGCCCCTCCTGTGCACACCATGAGAGGAAGGATGGACAGGTGCTTTTACAGGAAGCAGTAAGAGAATGACATTCATGGCTGGTTACATGAGCTGAGTTCCCAGGCAGGTGGATATAAACTCCCTTTGGGACATGGATGCTCACCTGCAGGCAGCGACCACACATACAGCATGGAGAATGGATGCTTTATATACACAAGTCTTAAGACAAACTAGCTAGGAAGATTCTTCCCGGAGCAGTACAAGGACAAAAATCAATGTAAAGTAAAAACCACATTTACCTTCCCTCTTCTTCTCTGAATAAAGAGAAAACAAAAACTCCAGGGGCACTTTCTAAGAAGAAAATTTGGAAAAAAAAAAACCTCAATGTGTTTTACGTAAGAGCTCAGATGTTCCTCATGCAGAGCAAGAATCTTTAAGCACAGAGAAGATCAAGAAATGAAAACCAGGTAGTGGCTGGCTGGAAGGCCTTGCAGATTGCAATGCATCTACCCAACTCACCTTGATTTGAGCAAGGGGTTACAATTTTTCTCCTCCCTGCACATCAGAGGTAAGAGTGCAGGTACCTTAAGGAGACAAATCACCAATCTTTCATCACAGTACAGATTAAAGGAATGCTAGGGTTTAACTACTGGTGTGCCACTGTATGGTCCACAGGAGTACATACAGCTGAGATGGCTGGAGAGCACCCACAAGCCCAGGACCATCAGTTCCACCACGTGTCAGAGAACAGTCATAAAAGGAGCAAGTGTGGCAACAACCTAAGACTGCTGAGCTGGTGGGACTGCGAGTGACAACCCTGCTTCCGGCTGGGGCAGTGCCACTGAAAGGGGATCCCCACCTCTGATAAGCAGCAGGAGCAGGGAAACAATAGGTGATTTGATGAGAGCTGCTCTACGATACTCCTGAGAAGCCCCACAGCCAGCCCTGGCCACAGAGGAAATTGGGGGTTTCCACAGCAACCTGCTGAGGGCACAAAGGCCCAACTGTCTAGGGAGAAGCAGTGGAGGTGTCTCAGCACTCTCGTTTTAAGAAGGAACAGGGGTGGAGGGATGGAGTCTTTCTGAAGCCAAAGTACCTGCAAGCACATTTTTGTACAGCAGGAGCTGAATTGGCTATCGGGCCTATAACTGGGGAGGAGTGGTGCTGGAGGAGGAGGAAATAGTTACCCCAGTCTTTAGCCTAGCTAAAAGGTACGACCTTTGCAGTTGAAGAAAAGCTGCAAGAAAAGCATGGCACTTGGCTCCCTAATCTTATTAATATAGCCCATGACACAGAAAAAATAATGACCAAGCTGGTAGAGAGAAGTAAGAAAGTCTTCTGTTGGGCATGTAGGACCGAGACGAAGGCCAAGGTGGGAGTAAAAAAAAACATTAACAAACAAAAATCACATTTAACTTAAAATGGGGAGATTTATAATTTATTTACACAAATATAAACAAAAATAGAAACATCTCTGGAGACGGAAAGAACCAAAACAATGGCTGGAAGCTGATCAGTCTGTGATAATTAACTCATCCACGCCCCAGTCTTCATAGCTCCCATCTGGCAGGTAACGACGGATGATTATGGGGATCTTGCGTGCTCTGAAGGGAGGACAGAGAAGTGAACAGAAATGCCGGAGCTTTCACTATTCCACTTCAGCAGGCAATGGGAACTGTCATGCTTAGCGGCTTCAGTAAGCTCATCAGGTTTAACTGAGAGATCTGTGTAGCACCAGTGATTTGGTATTATATCATAGAGGGAAGTCCAAACAACCTTCTCTCTTTTGTAGGTGCAAAGCACTGAGCACCCTTAGAGTTGAAACAACCAAAGACCTACAGAAGGTCAGCCCTCTGTTCTGTGTAGGAAGTGAGCCCTGTGATCTGAACCCACTGTGAGACAACACCGAGTATCTAACACAGATATAGGGAGAAAAAAATTAAAATCAAGGGACTTGAACAAATCCACTTTGTTTGACGGAAGACTTTTCCCCACAAGATACTACAAAAGCAGCAGAATTCTGAGAATGTTTATGAAAAAAATAGTATTTACAGAGTGTTTTGCACCCTGAGAGCATCAGTTACATTTTAAGGATACATGAAATAGGGACTATTTAGGGACCCAAACCTCATACAGCTGGGGTGGAGCACAGCATCTGCTAACAGTGCAGATGGAACAGTGGTTCCAATCAGAAAGCAAGAAAATGCTGAATACAATTTAACTTAATGGAAGTAGATTTAAGTCAGCAGAATGTAATTAGTCTGGAATCTAACCAGGGCATCAGGTTTCAGCCATATCAGACTTGAAAAGTAACACAACTTCTTTAATGATCACATTCAGGGCCATTGTTTTTCCAGTAGCAAAGTAGGTCTCTCTTGCCAGGAATTGCAACTGAATTTTGGCACAGAACAGGATGCCACTATACTTTGTCACACCCCGACTTACTTTCTAGAGCTCATGCTCAGACCGTGACCAGAAGCAACTCAGACTGAGCTTGGAGATCTGACAGGAACATGACCTAAGGAGCTTCTGGCAATGATAAAGGAAGCTGTAATAGATATAAAGGCTGCAAGAGCAACTGCAATGCAATGAGAAACTGAGGGAGCAGAGGGACAAGTTCAAGAACAGGGACTTAATTAGTAATGGAGTCCAGCTGCTCTCCTTGAAGGATACCTGCATGTAATCTAGGTCACCGACCATGCAGGCAACCTGTGGGCCAGCAGGGAGCTCTGCTGTGGAAAGGTGGGCCTGTAAACGGTAATCCAGAAGCTGCTTCTGCTACAGTCAAAAAGGATTTATTTATCTTTCTGTAAGCAGGTGATGTGTCTCCCTGCAAGCACAAGGGTGCGGGAAAAGAACATTCTTCACAGGGTCTCCACACCACCAGCCTGAGCCTTATATTTTGCCAGCACTTCATTTGAAGACAGGTCTGTTCGGATGGATACTTCAAATCAGTTCCATTCAGGGAATTAAACTGATTCCAGGAAGATGAGGACCTTGAGTTCTCATCACAGAAATAAAGAACATTTGGACTCAGAAGTAAAAGAGGTCAGAGCACTTCTAATCATCAGTACTTTGCACAAGCAACTAGGATGGGAAAGAGCAGCTGCAGAGAAGTCCCAAAGTGAAAAAAGGGAAGGCAACTGCAGTGCTCACAGTTAACAAGGGAAGACAAGGTTGTCTTGGAATAAGCTACTAAATGCTGGAATGAGGATAGGACTGCTGGCTTTGTGGAAATCAACACACTCACCGCCGAAGTGTGGGACTTACTTGAGTTCTTTCATGGCAATCAGCAAGGGGTCTGTCTCTCCTTCCAACTCCACCATCACAGGGGCACACATCCTGGGACAGAACAACAATCATTTGAGAGAACACACAGAGAGGGAAGAGGGACAGCTAAGTACATGCCTACCTATGTCACCTGGACAATGGCCAGCAACATAGAAGTGTGGGACACCACCTTGGCAAATCTGATTTGCTCTGTTATGCACTTCAGGAAGAAAATTCCAAGTGGTTAGACTGAGCTTTTATTTCAGTGTTGTTCTTGCCTCATTCATCAGCCTCTGCTGACCAGCTGATGCTCAAGGGCTGGTCAAATCCACACCCTTCTAGTCACCCTCTGCTTTACTTAAACATGAGGAAAAGAGTAGTTCTAAAATTAATCCAGTAAATAGGGTGGAAACACTGTAAAATAAGCATGCCTCCCACAGCTCTAGCACATCTTACATTCTGATTTGCTCACACCTTCCAGGCTTTGTTTGAGGGAAAGCAAGGAGCTGAGTTTAGGATGTGCTCTACCTCCAGGAAGAAAAAATTAAGTATTTTGCAGAGGGTTCTAACAGCAGAGCAGACATGGGTGACAGTATCCGCTGTTAGACAGTGGCGGCAAAGAAAGTTCACATTATGCATGGATAAGGCCACTGGGGGCTGCTGCTGGCCTAGGCTGGCTAGCTAGGTTGGCTAGGCTACCAAGCACTGAAGGCAGAATAGGTAGGTAAAGCAGAACCAGGCGCCACAGTGTTTTGGATTAAAGGCCTGGCATGGGCCTATCTTGCCTCACCCATTTTTCTGGCCTTCCACCAGTTGAAAAAATGTGCACAAAATAGCTTCACAGAGTGAAGACGGTGCAAAGAATAGCTTGGCAAAGTGATGATTAAGGGAAGATCTGACCACCACCTACAAGCTTCTAAACAGTGTAGAAGAAAGGCACTGTTTTGAGGGTGGATATAACCAAGATGAAACTCAGCAATGTGCTTTCAGACAAACCTTGCCACAGCCTCATAATCTTGCTTATAAGGCACTTTTTCAAAGAGCGCAAAAACTTTTTATATGTATTATTAAAACAAGTCTGGAGAGGTAAATGGCTAAAGTTGAGAACAGCCAGCCTTAAGAGCACATAAAGAATTTAAGTGGTATTACCTATAATAAATGAGGCACCACTATTCTAAACACTTTAAAAGACTTACAGCTTGTCACAATGCAACTGCACTTCACACAGAGTTCAGGCTGGCTACTCCATTCCCAATTCCTACAGCCCTGTGGTATCAACTGAAGACATTCTGAAGCATCCCTCACTCCAACCTTGGCTTTCACAAACCAGTTCTGAGCCTTCCAGCCCACATTGGTTCCATTATAAAACGCAGAAATCAGGATCAGCTTGTCACATTCCCCCCCGCCCCCATTTTGCCTGTGACCTAGAAAGGTTCATTGCAGCTGCTGAACGCTGCCCTTTCTAGGCACAAGTACCACAGTCTCAGCCATGGACAGACACAGGGACTTCACATGCAACTAAGAGCTCTGTGGTCCTGTGCTTCAGTGTTGAACCAAGATGTCGATCCACAAGCTCAGCAGTCATGTAAGGGAATACATGAGATCCAGGAGTTTTTAAGGAAGAAGGGAAGCAGCTTTAAGAGGGAAAGTAGAAGAAGCTGTGGTGATGCTCAGGATACAGAGTGAAATACTCACGCTATTTGGAGGGCACGAGTGCCCAGGACTCTGGCTCGCTCGTATTTGGTCATGTAGGGTGTAGTGATCCGCTTCTGGTTCGCCTGCTGCCGCTCT